TGCCAAGGCTTAAAGCAGCAACAACGCTACACATAAAAACTGATGATGGTGGAAAAATACACCGAAACGTATTTTGATTGATAAATAGAGACAATAAATGACTGAAACCCAGGAATGAATTTGATTTTGAATTATTATCAATGCAAACAGTGCAGCGCTTTAAAACTGAATAAGTTGCTTTTGTAACTCACCGACCATCAATATTTTCCAATGTTCTAACAGCAACTTCTTCAAGTTCATTAAAATTGCCATATTGATTTTTATAAACTGTGCTTTTACGGCTGCTCATAAAAAAATCCAAAGCTTTCCAGCTTTCGATTCGGTGATCGAGGTGGCCATAAAATAGGACCGTTTCTTCCAATTCAAGCGCCAGAAAATTATTCCTGCCATCTCTAGGGTTGAAATTTGTGGATTCTGGCTTGCAATGGCCAAGACATTAACCTCCACAGCTCCATTATTACTGTATCTTCATTTCTTGGCCGTGTAAAACGTCCATAAGTGCCAAAATTGTCGTAGGTATAATCTTTTGAATGTTTTCAAGGACGGCTGACGACGATCAAAATACATCTCAAAAAAGTAATCAGAGGCTCGCCCAGCATTTTTATCACATCTAATGTAGGCTTCAATCATGTCGCGCTTCTTCATCTTCATTGGTATAATCCATTTTTACAATAAAACCAGCTTAAGTTTCTAACTAACTTGAATGTCAAATAATTGAAAGATGTGGTTATTATTTGTTACTATGGAAACACTGCTGCCTGCCTTATGTTATACGATTTTCCGTGGCCAACTTCGATCAACTAAATTGAGAAAGTAAAAAATCATTCGCCGACACTCCATTTTCGAAAAGTCCTATCGATGTGATACGTCACTGAAAGCGTAATAAAATGCTCTATTATAATAAAGGCATAATTAATTTCTATGGTTGCCATTTAAAAAAACTCAAGTTTGCGTCATAGGTAGTAGGTACCTATGTCGAAAATTACAGTTAATTTGTATAAATGTATCATGCCATTTTCTTTGGAATACAATTTTCTACAACTTTTCTATTTAATGTTTTCCAATCAGATTAATATTGACAGAACTAGGAGTCATTTAAAAATCTGCCATAAATCAGATTTTTTCACATATGTCCTGCTGCTGTCAAATTTAGTTTCGAAAAATAAAATTGGTTTCAATTAGAAGATTCAAAACTAAAATTCTTTGTCCATTTAACCTTCGTTGTGCTGCAGTTTCCAAGATCCCTGGACTGGCCATCTAAAAGAAACACCTTGTATATATGATCTTGTTATTAGCAAAAATAGTTGGGGTAGCTAGAAATAAAAGTGAGCCATAATTTCAATAGTTTCAAGTTTCAGCATTTTGATGAATAACTGTTCAGTCTGTCCATAAACAAGGGATGAATTTAATGCCCCATATTTGAATAACCCTGGCTATAAATGTCAAGTTAAAAACAGTACGCCTCTGCAATTGCTAATAATGTAATTACTTTTAAGAAATAATTAGTTGATTAACGCCTATGGGTAAGTAACTGCTGCATTCTAATCCCGCGGTCTTAAGGAAACGGTAGATGGAATATTACGAATTTATTCGCCCAAAAACGGAATTACTTATGTTTGACCATTGATGAATATCAATCAGGCTCAGTTAGTAGATTGTAAAAATGTTGATTTTCACTGTGAGAATGAAACTATTTGCACTGGACATTCTTTGAACAGATAAAATTAGCTGCCAAACTGAGCTAAACTTTTTCCTAATCATAATCCTTGTAGTTAACGACGCTTGCCAAACTTAATGGGTGGATGTTAAATTAATTACTCCTCTCAACGACCACAAATTATAATAATTTCGTTCCCTTCTAGAAGGGGAGTATTTAGCTCTTGTTCACATTGATTGTGAATTATAGTCGTAGGACGGTTGAGTGAAATTTTACTGTAAATGTTTTATTGTGCACAGTCAAAAATGCAACATTTAGTAACACTACAAGAAACGAAGTAACGGTCCCATCAAACTTATTTGAGATGACTTAAAATGCAATTTGCCGCATCCGCATCTCCCCTTATAATGTGAGGGTGCAAATTAAAGTTTAACGGCCCAAAGCAAAGCATATATTTAATCTAATTCTGCGTGAAGAAAAGTGACATGTCGTAAATTGCTGGCAGATATTCTGACCGCACATATTTATAGCTTGAAATAACAGGTTATCCAATTCGAGGTTGGGAAAGTAAAACCTTGCTGTTTGATATCTGTCAAAGGTAAACGTCAACCGAAGCTTTTTTGTTTTAGTTGAAGGTTTGCCATTTTGGAATATGGATGGATCGTTTTACTGTCGAAGAACGCGTAAAATTATTAAATGTTACTTTAAAAATGGTGATTCTGCTGTATCAACGTTTAGGGCTGTTCGAGCAAATTACGGTCGACATAATCGACCCACAGAGCAAACAATTTCGAACACAGTGGAAAAATTTGAGGAGACTGGATCGGTTACTACATGTTCAAGTGGATTTTGCAACTCAAAAAAACCACGCAAATCTAAAACTTCTTGAATTCAAGCATTTTTTGAGAAAACTGC